GTCCGCTCGAGGTACCCGTCTTTAGAGCCTCCTGCAGCTCTGTCGCAACTGGTTCGCCCCTTACGTCGGGCCCTTCGTCATTGGTTTGGTCAGCCCATCTCAGCGGTGCTTTTCGCCTAATTCGTTCCTTCATATCCCTCAGAGCTCGATCGGGCGATGTCTTGTACTCCTCTCCCGCTTCCCCCGTGGTCGGTTGTGGCCCCATCGTGTCGGGTTCCATTGGACCGCCAGAAGACGCAGTTAGGTATTCTAGCCAACTGTTACAGCCTGACCCTATGACAGTCGCTGCAACCTAGACCTGTGACAGTTGCGGCAGCCCGGACCTGTTTCTTTCTCACGGCTCACGTCCGCCTCCAATCTTAGCTCTCGACTGCCTTGATTACCACTTCCAGTATTCCGTACCGGTCGCAAATCTCATGCTCTCCCTCTATCCCAAGAATCCCTGTGTCTAAGTAAACCTCTCCTTCGGGATCAGCCAACAAGGCCGTGCCTCTCCGGATCTGCAGTACACCCGTGACAGGACCTCTATCCTTGAGAGAGATCGCAGTCCCAAACCTAGCCAATGTCTCCTGATCAACACCCCTCAAGAGTCTCCGAGCGTCTATCTCCGGCCTCCTTGCTAGTTCTCCTAGCCCTGTCCTGAATCGGTTAGCCCGCTAAAGGCCCTCCTACAGCCATCCAAAGTCGCCCTCTACTACAAACATCGGAACTATCGCCCGCAGGCTCCTAACGCTGTACGGGAAAAACCCGTCCCGTGCTACCACCAGCTCTCCCGTGATATCAAGAGGAGGGCGTCCGTGAAATAGGGTCAACGGGTTTATCGAGTCCTCCGCTCGGAAGGCAGCTACCTCTTCCCCTAGGTAGCGTAACGCCCTGCTAACTGTGCCACTAGTCCCTGTCGTCGCGAGGTCCACCACGGTCTCCCTGATCGCATCCGGTCCCAAATACAAGTAGGCTCTCACTACGCCCACTCCTTGCCCCGGCCGGTGCTCTCTGTACGTCCAAAGCCACACGTCCTCGGACAAGATTATGGACCTCCACGCAAACTGGCCGTCAACGTGTCGAATGTTGCGC